CGAAAAGCCCTGTGGAGTTGCAGATAGAGCTTTCATCAATATAGTTAGTGTGGGTCGGTTGAAATATCCTAGAGTATTGTTCAGTCAGAAGGTTAGCCGCGTCACTGTCGTTGTTATTGGGGCCTTTAGAAACTAGCAGTTGTGAAACTGCAGTCTTTTCTTGTCGAAGAGAGGCTGCATGACGAAATAAGCTTTTCGGATTGGGAACAAATTTATCAATAAGCTTTATCTGGTACTGACGCCTGCCTTATCTTATTGCCTTTGTGCATGTGCTTCTTATTTGTTTGTATTGCCTGCATGCACCGTTGTTAACAGTTCGTTTGTATTCTGCCCAACAGTGCCCTTTGTGGCTAAGCAAACGAAGAGTGCGGTTCATGATGATTGTAGGTTGCTTGTAGCTTTTGTGGAGCAGTTGAGGAACTGACTGCTTTGTAGCACATAAGATCGTGTGCAGTAAGGAATCCCAATGAGCATCTTCAGAGTCAGTGAAATATCACTGAGACTTAGCCAAATCGCCTGGCAGTTGGGCCAATGAATATCAAACAGTCCATCGATCCTCGTCAAGATAAAAAAAACTGATGCGCATCAGTTAATCATATGCCATGGACTGGCCCATGCGGTGGTGTTGTCACTGTGTTCTTTGTACTCATTCTTACCAATATTTTTCCGTAATAACATCCTTTGTGTATTACGTTTTTCGCAACAGTCATAGTAGTTTGATACGGAGAAGGGGTAATCCACGTTAGGTGCTGATCGCGGGTCGTGACTTCGACGTTGCCTGTTGGTCACACTATTTTCGTCTAACTGGAGTAGGCCTCCAATCGTTTGACAAAGATCATCTGCGTTGGTCACCTACACATCCACATCAAGTTGCCGTAGACTGTCATGTAAATTTGGTATATCCAGACGTTTACAATTCCAGCGCTTATCATCGGTAGGATGACATAAATCAGTTTTACTGACAAAAATAAGGGCTATGACGGCGTGATCGCTTTCCCCTAGGGAAGCCATAATTGAGAGGTTGTCATTTTGGAACTCTTCGTTTGTAAATGCAGCCTAAGCGTGACGGCGTCTGAGTTAGAGTTTTCACCTCCAATATATGTGCTCATCAAATTTGACTTTAGGAAGATTTAAGTCCCCTAGAATCAGAAAATGAGTGAATGCGAGATGAGTAGAGCGGGATAATCCTTCCAGCATACGTTTGACGTACTTGATGTCAGCCGTGGGCTTCCTGTAGATGACTCCAACTTGACACCACGAGGTGGTAGACAATCTTACTGAGCACTATACGGGTTCATCAAGATTGATAAACTCTTGATTGTACACTACAGGCAAGATCGCAAGTATAAGGCTACTACGCCCTTATCCTTGTTTTCCTGTGATTGCGAAACAATGACATCCAGGGTATTGCTAGCTCCTGATCCGTGAATTGAGAAGATATCCACGTTTCAGATATTTCTTTCAGGTAAGCATTATTAGCCTTACTGAGCTCACGTGGCGTATATATATACAAGCAGTTTGCGCTTTCACTTTGAAACTCGTGAGCTTCCCGTCCTGTTTGTTTATATCAGTCTTGAGTGAACGGACAGGTAACCTTGTAGAATTATGGCCTACTTCGATTTTAGTACTACTCTAATAATAGACATAATCCCAAAATTGTAGATTTTCATAATATAACTGCCTAATTTATAAGACCTTACGTGGCAGTCATATCATCGTCTGCAACAATTCGTTACATCGTAACAATGGCCAATACACGACAGAGAACAAGCTCAGGCTAGAGATAGAACAATTCATTTAATATGAATAAAAGATATAAGGTAACATTCTGCTAGGATTGAAGCTATGATGAGTTCACTTAATCTGTGAACAAGAACAAATGCTCGGTGACCAAAGACCAGTAAGCTAGTTATCTGATGCGTCCCAGCCCAGCTAAGTAGAGGAAGAAGCCCAAGCTTAGAATGGTGAAGTATATTCTGCAAACAGCCAGAAACGAGCGATAACAGCAAACACAACTCAAAACGTACATATACAGTACAAAACCGTCCTTGGGAAGAGTTACAAAATGGCATACTAAAAGACGCAACGGACCAATAGCACTCAAGACATTTCCCAGTGGGAAATACGACATGAAGGTGACGAGAGCGCTTTTAGCGCGAAAACAAAGAAATCCAAATTTTTTAAAGAAAATTACAAACTTAGGTCCTTTATTAAGTGAGTCCTGGGGATCTAACCTCCCCAACACATTCAACGGGGACCACGGCTGCAAGGCCGAGCCGTGCCATCCGATCAATTCTGATAAATTCGACTCATTCTTCCCACCTTCTCCATCGTTGGGTTTTTCTCCGCGTAAAATGTTGAATATCCATTTTCCCAGCTGTCTCATATTCAGCTTTGAGGATGTTTGGTTAGGATCCAACGCCAATACAACCTACCTATACAGGGTTTTTTGAATTGGTAGCCCCTGTTCTTCCTACCTGTTTTATAATCTTGACGAAATAAAAGATTTCGCTTAACGGGCTTCTGTATTTAGTAAAAGTGTATCACCGATGTCTTCAAGTAAGAACCTAGGTATATTTAATGATTAAGAGAAAAAATTAATAAATTATAGTGAGATCCTGTCCTTAGACCTGTAAACGTTTTTCCTAAGGACTGCTGGGGAGTAATCTGTACTAGCTTTAGACGGCGGCGAATTCCTGAATCTAGCTACTCGTAAAAAGTGAAAGGTATACCTACAATCGAAGTCAAGGATCCGCTTCGATATGAGTAGTGCGACGTTTGCTCAAAAGGCATTTCAGCCGCAGTTAGCATGCGAATTCAAACCATAGGGTGCCAATACTCCTAGATATTATCCATTCTACGATACCTCCTAAGAGGAGTCATTCAGATTCCATAAGTGGTCCGCAACATGTATCAGATGGTCTACTTCACACTTGAAAGTGTTAGGAGTAATTCCTCAGTTATCTCCCTAACGTTGAAGTGAAATAAGGTCCTCCTGAAGTGCCAGCTTTTAATCTTCATTTCAATGTTCTCTTCAGAGTTTCATGTCGTCGAAAAACGTAACAAATCAGACTGCACTTACTGAGCAGGGTCATATTTTATAAATTAAGAAATGGCGAGTTCCCAGTACTGAATCCTGAAGGATCGCACCAGGACATCCTCTAGCCCGAGAAAAAGTAAAGTTTACATTTACCCTAAAAAGTCGACTACTTATATGTGAAGTAAGCCATTCATTTAGCAATGACTCAATAACGAATCCTTTGAGCTTATTGATGAGATACATGTGATTGACCCTATCAAAAGCTTTTATGAATTCAAGTTATACGATATCAATGTTCCACTTACAATCAAGGATGATTGTCCATTTGCCCACCGACGTCACCAGGTTGGTTGTACACTGTGCTGTTTAAGTGAAAAGAAGTTTATGAATGATAAGTGGTCACGTAGATCATTATATATCAAGGATTCCATATTTTTTGAATGTATTAAGAGACATGTTACCGGCCCATGGCTTGAAGATTTGCTGTGTCGGCCGCACTTGAGAACTGGTAGAATATTCACCAGCTTCCAATTTTATGGGATCCTGTGGATTTAAATAATATTAGTAAGATCCGTATAGTCAGCATGTCAGTTTGAGCGCTCTATGGAGGTTGTGTTGCAATTGGAAACTGATAGTCAGGAGTAAATCCACGTAAATTTGAGAGCTTCTAAGAAACGCGACGTCATATCCCTCTGGAACATTTGAAACATTAATTATGGTGTAGGACAACGCCACTCCTTCCATATGCGTTATCGGTAGCATATCTTCAGAGGGCTGAAAAAGAGGGCAAGAAAAGTAATGATGAGAAGCAAAACTTACAGTGTTTATGCATATTGAAATTGAGTCACTTGTGGTGAAGTAGTGAAGTATGATTACTTAGTCTAATTTTTCTATTATTAAAGTACATGTTAAGAAAGATTTATAGTAGGTTAAAGAAAACAAGCGTGTATATGGTATAAATGGACGTGGTTCAAAAAGAAGCTGAAAGCATAGGATTATGCGAAGCTTTAAAATATAGTACTGAAAACAGCATTGTGATACACATAGACTCTCTCCTTTTTTGGTCGAAGCTATTTCAGCTAAGTTTTATTTTTGTCGATTTTATAGGGTCATGACCAGGCTTTGCTTTTAGCGAATTGTCTAGTTTTGATTGCAATAAGATTACTTAGTAGGAAGTGAAACCAAGAGGTATTTTGCATAATAAAATGGCATCAACACTATTTGTTCGTGACATTCCACTAGACCATAAACAGCAGTGATTTAATAAAATGTTCTGCCCAACAGACATGAATGGATCGAAGTATTCTCCCCACCATCATGTTTGCTGGTCAGTAACACCACCCCCTCCTTTTGTGACGTTAGGCTCACTTACGTTTGTGGTATGTATGAATATTGCTTCAATTTAATCTCCTTGTTGGAATATACTGTCTCTACTAGTTACATGTTACAAGCTCACCAGATGGTTAGAGCTTCTGTATTGTGGGTCGGACATCCATTTAGTATATCACACTGCTACGAAGATATCTAATGGGTAAAGTAAAAAAACACAGGTCAGGTTATACATGGTTGAGAGATGGTAAGGAGAGGTAGCAAACCAATGAATATGCAAGAGTTTAGAAGAGTTTAGAACACAAGTGACCCAAGGCGGATAGTTGACATTGGTTTTTGGTGATGGGGGATCTGAGTGGTCCGGTGTACGAAAGTACGCCGAAAAACTATAAGAAACGAAGTATCAGACAAACAAATTTTGCAACACCTCATATTCCACTGGCTGGGGGCGGTAGTAAAAAAAGCAAGACTAGTCATAGAACAAATAAACGTTTCAAATCAAGCAGCTCCTCTCGATGGACAGTCAGATGTAAACACAAATGTCAGTTCATCTCGCCGCTCTGTAAATAAACAACTTTCTCAACCTCGACGAGTTATTGCAACTGGAAATAAATCTCGTCAAAACAACTGGATGTATGTAAATCGTAAAGAAACACCTAAACCGAATAGTCGTCGTGTTTCACCTATTCGAAATCGACAGTCTCAGAGCTCCGGTCGAAATAGACAGTTAGTTCAAACACAACAGTCAAGTAAAACAACAGGAAGTGCTTCAAATGATAATCAAATTAGGCCGAAGAGAAGAGCTGCTCCCTGTGAAATCGCTTTAAGAGAAATAAGAGCTTTTCAGCGTAGTACAAATTTTCTTTTAAGGAAGTTACCATTTGCACGTTTAGTACGTTCTATCACTGTTCGTACACTTGGTCCGAGCTATTTATCATTTAATTGGCAAGCTGTCTTTTTTGGCATTACAAGAAGCTGCGGAAGCATTTATTGTTCATTTATTCGAATGCGCACAACGATGCGCAATACATGCAAGACGTGTAACAGTTATGACCAATGATATACAATTAGTGACACATTTACAAAATATACCAACTTCATCACAATTTACACATTATCATCATACTATACAAAGCCAACAACAACTCTCACATTCGAAACAATTAAAATATAAACATGCTTCACAGCCTCGGAAAAAAGGTTATTCTCAACAATCAGATGTTGATGAAGACGATAGCACTGATACTTCATAGATGAATCTCTCTTTGTTTCTCTTTTCTCCGAATTCTTTTTATTTATACACATATATGTATACATTCTTGTTATTTTATCATGATACGTTTTTGTGTATCTGTATCTGCACAGATCATGATGTACATACTGTCTCCATTGTTCATACCTTTCCCGTGACGATGGTTGATACGATACGACAAAGGGCGGTCTGCTTGAGCATCTGGACTACCTGTTCCTGCCATCTAGATATTTCAACAACTTATCTATTGTTGTTTGTTTTAATATATCATTATGTATATTAGTCGCATAATTTATTCTGCTGCGTTTCTGAAAAGTGTACAACCTTTCGTTGTCAAAGTTACAGAAAACTCAATAAGAGACAATATGGTTGCTGGCAATATACAACGAAAAGAATGTACATTATTCAGTTGTTCATTCACTGAAGTGCTAACGTCTAACTGGCGATCACTCAATATTTATCTCCAGGACCGACCAAGAAGAAAGAAACGGAAACTTGTTGAAATACTTTGCGCTGAGAATTCTATATTGTACCAAAATTATAATATTGAATGAAGCTAATAATAATGATAATAATAATAAGTCAATCAGAAGTAGCCAAATAGGGAAGGTCAATCGATAGCAATCAGAATTGACCTGAATGACAAGAGCAAGTGTAAAATCTTCGGAGTAAGGAAACAAAATATTGAGCGACTCACTAAAAACGAAGCCTACTCCAGACCCTATAAAATCTAAAAAAGGGCTCAAATAGCTTCGAAAAATGAAGGAGAACAGCCATTTGTGTATCAGAATACCGTTTCCAGCACTATATTTGGTAACTGCACACAAAACTTAATTACACTTATTTTCTTTAACCTCTTAGAATGCTCTTGCTTAATAAATAGCTCAATAAAAGAGAATTAGACTGAGTATTCATACTTTAGCTATTCCTTCATGAACACTATCTGCTCTGCTTTTCTTTCTTTCTTTTTCTTCCATTCTTTTTCAGCCCCCTTGAAATATGCCACTGTAAACAGATATGGAGCGGGTGATTTTGTCCTGCACCATCATTAAAGCCTCAGATATTCCAGAGGGTTGTAAGGTTGCGATTTCTAGAAGTCCCCAACTTCACATGGATCTATTCTCGACTATCGGTTGCACGTCGCAACGCGGCCTTCATAAAACGCGCCAACTTTGGCTCTGGCTAAAACCATTTAAATCAACATCTCATAAAATATCAACGCAGCTGAGTACTTTAATACGGTGAAAATTGTATCATTTGTGACAATCTGATCTTGCCTGTAAACTGGCATGCCTCATGTAACAAACTATTATTTGAAAATAAATTATTATTATTTTAGGACCTTATAAGCTTCTTATTATCGGTCATAGTTGATAAGCATCCGTGAGATTTGTGAGTTATCTTTCTGAATGAAATAGAAAATAGAAGAACATGACACATAGGAAGTATAATACAGTTTTAACCATTAGTGAGATTAGGAACCTGGAAGTGGGGAGTTGGAGCATATGTGCATGACAATTATGAGTGAATAATGGGAGGGGGAAAATCATGTGTTCTGTCGTTTGTTTATATTTGTATTAATGACAATGGGGTCCATTATGTTCATGATTGGCTTAGATATTTGGCTGTCCATAATAAAGTGCGGTGTTACACACCAAATACGACTGAAGTACTACCTGTATTGATGAAAGCACATTGATTAGATCATAGAGAGCTAAGGCTGGAGAAAAATGAATTCAGTCAACTGATTGTTTTAGGAATAATCCCGCTGTTTAACAGCCCATGAAGATCTTCATTGATTGACCCGGATTTACCATATAAGTAAATTTCCATGGCCGGCCACGATATCTCCAAAACTGCCATCAGCACTCATTTCTAAATTACTCTTCCGAACTAAGGAACAGAGGGAAAGCCTTGCGGCTGTTTATTGAGGAATTCTCATAACAACCTCGACCTTGTGTGCGCATACATTGGTGAATGTCAGATCATAAGTTCGGATAGAATCCCACCTCCAAGATCTAGATATTTCTTCATAGAGACTCCGGAAAGATCATCTTTGTTCACATTCAGAAGTGTCGAATTTGAACGGACTCCCTCGACTTTCTCGAAAGTACCACTGACGCTCAAGGAATTCAGATTTTGCAAAAATAGATGCAACGGCTACCCCTGATTAGCCAGAGTTGACTACGTCCGATGGGTTGGTAAATTTTCCAGGATTTCCTCAGAAGGCTTAAAATTCATAGTATCGTACTGTTCACAGTCATACTGCTTACCGAGCAAAGGATATAAAACACCTGAATCACCTAAGACTCGGTGTGACGTTCACTAGCTTTGGCAATTAGAAGAATGCTTTGTCAAACACTTACTTATTGAAGTCTCTGTAAAATGTGTAAATACTGACGGATATATTATATTTTATGCGCAATCTCACCAAAAGCATTAATCAAGGATGCTATTGTATATTCTTTCGAGGAAGCAACTGTGATTTGCAAGATACCCGGAAAGTGAGGGTCTTCATGATGCAGTCCATTATATTCAAGAAAGTTGGATCATGAGGTAGTCCTTGAAGCAAAACGATGTCCTGATCTATAAAGTGGAAACATTAGCGAAGAAGGACAGTAATACTAGACTCCAGTGAATGAATGAAACCTTCTGCTTTCAAATAATGGCTGTAGCTACATAACTGACGTCGGTTGCACTTGAAATTCACGTGCATCCAGATAGGCGATATGATACAAAGATTAACTGTGAAATCAAACTGCGACTGATCATCCAAATAGTGGGTTTTAATGAACAAATATCAAGAAAGGTGCAAAGATTCCCTACTTGGAAAGTCTTGTGTAGATAGCTCAAATAACCTTCACTAAAATAAACAGGACAAATACACGTATATGCTTAAATCATAAAAACCAACTGCCTATATAAGAACACCGCAGGTTTACTAAGCAAACTGAATGAATTGCATAAATTAACTAATGCAAACAACTCATGTTCATCCGATTGGGATGTCCAAAAAATAAGTACCTCAAATAACGAGACATGTGTTGGCAATACTCAGGATGTCTTCATATAGCAACGGTTGAAAAATTTGGATAGAGGTCGAGGCTGCTATGTATTCGCACTTCTTGATAGAGAAACACGACTAAGCTTAGGGGTTTGTCAGCTTTGATGCATCCATATGATATTCACTAAGGTCCTCTTATACTACGAGTTTTCTAGTTTGGTTTATCCACAGAACCTTAATGGTGACATCTAACTCAGCAATCTGATGCCAGAGAGTTGGACACATTCTTCTCTTTCTACACTTTCATGTTCTAATCTTATGAGACTTCAATCTTCCTAAAGTCAACCTCACTGAACAAACGAGCGATATCCTTTTAGGAGGTTTCGTGCAATTGCGTATGACAATCCCTCCAAGTACATATTTCTGAAACTAATTCCCATCGATCACTTCAGCCATACATGTCATTGACCTCCGGATTTTAAATGGGAAGACACTATGCATTTTTTATTGTAGTTTGTGTTCTTTTGACTTGTCCCATCATTTGTCTTTATGCGCCAACTAACAATGACGGTGATGTTGTGCGTCTCCCAACAGAGATTGTTAGGCATTCCAACGATTGCATGTAATCCATACAGATGAGGGCACTATTTATAGCTCAACAAGAATCTCAGGAGTGGATTTAGTCTTTAAGCTGGTGTAAGAAACACGTCAACATCAAGACACGGATATATATGGTCTGAACATGCTCACTCTGCTTTGCTGTGAAAAGTGGCTCTAACTTTGAAAAGTGACCACTTGTAACCTGCAAACTATTATCACCACAGAAATATGGTCTTAGGAAGCGTTGTTACGGTGTCACTAATTTTCTGGCTACAGAGGATAGATGGATTTCCGTCGTCAATGGCAAGGAAACGTTGGCATAGATAGATCTCGATCTCTCAAACGGTTTTCATAAAGTCAATTCTGCAGACACTACTCATAAGCTGAAGTTGATAGCAGTCGCGTCACCAGTAAAAATCTGGTTTGGATATTGTCTAAATAATCGATTATGTGACGTTAAGGCAAGCTTCATATGTTTTTGAGACACAAAGCTTTTTAGTACCGTTGCCAGACAATCAGTTCCACGACCTCATGTCCTTTTAATTTCTGTGGATGATCTTCCTTAGAACCTATCTTCTGAGTTATTAATTTTGTTTCAGGATGTCGAACTTTTGAGGAAAGTCTGCAGCCGGAATGATTCGGCAAAATTTCAAAGGAGCCTGACTAGGATCCATAGTTGTGTATAAAAATGGACTTTTCGTGCCTATAGGTAACCCTCGTGCTATTGACAGAAGAAACCAGACTATTAGAGAATAGGTCTTCATTTTGATTTTTGCGCAGTCACAGTGGAGCGTGGGATTACCTGTTCAGACAAACAAAGCCCTTCAATATTCAACATAAGATAATAAGAAATATAACGCTTATACAAAATAAGAAAGTGAATGAATACTTGAACTCTACTGTTTCGACATATGCTTAGTTGTTTCAGGTCCTCTTAACGAATCAACCTAAGCTGTTATAGACTTGCTTTCAACCATTAAAAGCGTGAATTAGTAAAGCTGAAAAGCGTAGCGAAATACAAATACAATTCAGGCAATTACAATCTAGGGGTACTCCAGATGTCGGAGATTGGGATGTCCTTGTATTCTATCACCCAAAATCTTACGCTGTGACAAAAACGCTCCGAAACAAAATCTTGCACTGCCAACTTTGAGACGCGTTTTTGATAACTTTTACTGTGGAACTTTGAAACAAATTTTCAACATTTCCATTCGGCTTCATTGAGATCATGAAAAGTTAGCGTTCTGAACGTTTATTTGAAGGATAAGAATATTATAAAACATATCCAAAGGAGAGCTAGGGGTCTCACAAGGAAACCACTTAAATGGCTACAAATATCACTGAATCTTTAACCTTCAGATTGTAACGAGAGCATAAGAGTAACCTATAGAGTAAGA